TGAAAAACTAATAATTTATAATATATTATTAGATCTAACCTGCGCATGATGAGAATCAATAGCTGTTTTTGCCTCTCCGGTTTCTAAAAAAATCTATCCTCTAATTTCAATATCATACTAATCTTTCTAATATGCTAATATAAATATCATTTTACTATTGTGATAGTGTAGTCCATTGTCTGAGATAAATACAATCCATTTTGGCTTATTAGGCATATCATCAAAAACTGCATGAAGTGACGATGCAGTAAACTATGCATCTTGTTTCATATCTGCTAACCAGTAGTCAAATGCAGTAATATCTAGTTTTTCATTATTTGGTGATTTGGTATACATTAATATAGAGTGCAGAGTCCATCTTTTTTTTTTCAAAAAATTCTGACTTTGTTTCTCATGCTGATTTTAGTAAAATGCGCATTTTGTAATCAACAACAAGTATAGCTCCATCACTATCTAATTTTAATAACTTGGCTTGAACTTGTGTATTAAGATATACCTTACGTATTTGATGTGCTAAATAGTAAAGTAGTTTTTCTTTTTTATCTTCTAAAAGTTGTTTTTCATTTATTGGAATAATAGATTCTAATTCAGTAAAAAATAAGTAAAGCTTTGAACACTGATCACACCTAATAGTATGTGATTTAATGTACTCTTTGAATGTGTAAGATAAACAGTGATCAATATATTCACTATACTCAATATTACCATTACTTCTAATATCAATTTCACGTACATACTCTCTTTTCATATGACATCTAATTAGTTCTATATTTCGTAACAATTTATTCTATTAATAAAAATTTGATCAATTATATTTGTAACTTATTATTTTATTAAAAAATAATAATTATATGAATAAATAAAAAATAAATAAGAAAATTACATACTTGAACTAAATTATTTTCGATATGTAATATTATGATTTTAGTTAAATCATCAAATACTTCATAGCTATACTCTGCACAAATTGAACATAATCCTCCCAAATCTTCACGATACCTATATAGACCATCTTCAATTCGTGTCATAAATATTGTTCTTTTCATACTATTGGAATAAATTTCTGAGAATCTTTTCTACAATCATTCCTTTTGATCAAGTAAATAAAGAATTGAAAGATCTGTTTTTGGATCAACTTTGTATGAGCTTATAGTAACATTTGCTTTATCTGCAAAAAAAGCTTAAAATTGATATTCTATTTCTTTAGTGAGAGGTGGATTATGTATTATTTTTGGTTTATTAATTTGTTGACCTCCTGAACTGTTGAGAATAGTATATTTTCTAGCCATATTGATTGTTGTTGGTGAAACTTGCAAAATCAAACAAGTTATCGCATATATAAATTAAAGATAATTACATTATAATAATTATACTAACTATGAGTTTATTTTGTAATTCTTTGTAGTTAAACTTATATGCAATAATTGATAAAATTCATCGAATGCCATCAGAACTTTTTTTATTTACATCTAAACTATCCGCAAAATTATCCCAAAAAGTCTGCACAGAATTTTGTATATTTGAACTATATAGATTTAAGAATCCTGAATTGTAAAGATCTTTCAAAGTTTTTTTATCTATTTCCAGATTTGAAGAACGCGTCCAAAATTTAGACTATATTTTAAATAATAGTATAAATAATTAGTCATCAATAAAAAAAAATAAAAATTATAAAGCATAAATTATATTCTATATACTTCAGAAATATTCTGACTAAAAAGTGTTATGTTAGTGTATCTAGCTGCTTTGAGTATTGAATTTTAAGCTTGCATTTCATGATCAATGAATTGATAATTTTTTGGATACAAATTTGATAGTGCTGTATTTATTTCAATAATATTTCTATTAGATTCCCACCATTTAAACAACTGTAACCAATTTACTTCAACAATAGTTCACTTTTTAAGATGATAGTTAAATAAACTATTTATTAGTTCTTCGTCATTCTATTAAGATAGTTAGCATTTAGAAATATATAATTGTTGTAATATAAATTGCGTATATGTATGCTCAAGCCCAAATAGCTATGTACCCTGGAATTTTTTCATTATTCCAATTTTTTGCCAAATATCTACAGGTAAACTGCCTTCATAATATAAAATTTTTATATTATTGTTCTATATTTCTACTACAGATTTGTTTTCTATAAATTTTTGAATAAATATACAATGCTCTTTTCTAAAAACATGAATAAAAGAAGCCATATATTCCTCTCCTGAATTCATTCAACCTTCTTTCTTAGAAATACCTAAACTAAAGACCATAACAGATAGTTTATCAGCTATACTAATTGAATAAGGACAAAATTCTATATTGTGTAATAATCTAGCAAATATTGATTCTTTATCAAAGCCCATAATTATTGAACCTAAAATTTTTGTTTGAGTTTTAAAAATTTGTCTATATAAAGAGGTAATCACATTTGTTGGATTATCCTCAATTTCACTAGAACCAGAATCACAATGGCAAAAATAACCAGGTTGATTTTTATAAAACTTGTTTTCTTCTAAAATGTGTGTAATAAATTTTTTTTTATTTATTTCTACTTGTGTTTTCATACCAACTCGAATAGGATACATTATTTTTATATCATTATTGCTTTTTGTTGTTGAAATAAACTACCAATTTCGAGAAAATAGTCTGTAATATAAGTGAGGTTCAATTGTTCTACTAGAAACTAATGTAACTGCTAATTCACGTCGTTTTGTCATAGTAATGTATTGTAATATGACTTTCTTTCACAATGTTATTTATAGGTTTTTTTTTCTTTGTTTTCTCTATACCTCAGTTTTTTACATTCCCGTTCTTCCCTTCTAATCTTTCTTTTTCTTCTTCTTTTTGTTCCCTTTCTTCATATTCTTTATATCTCTTTCTTCATATTCTTTATATCTCTTTCTTCACGTTTTTTACGTCTCTTTCTCCACATTCTTTACGCTTCTTTTTTTCACATTCTTTATACTCACTTTCTTCAAGTTCTATATACTCTTTTTGATATGTTTTTCTTCTTTTGTTCTGTGTTCTTTTTCTTCATACTCTATGCATTCTCGTTTTTTCTTTCTGGTCTTTCTTTTTATACTCTTTCGTCAGTTTTATGCAATTCTTTTAATACATTTTTCTCCTCTTGTTCTCTGCACTCTTTTTCTTTATACTCCTTTTCTTTACGCTCTTTTCCTCCTTACTCCCCTTCTTACACTTTATTGTATTGTAATTTAGTACTATTCTAACTTATGCCAAAATTAACTTTTAGATGTACAGAACTAGTTGGGTTTTTTGAGATTCACAGTATATTAGAGTATTATATAAGGTTATTAACCCAGAAATTTCATATACTGTCTATATGCATGATTTACATATGATCAATGAATTATGAATTAATATATGTAATGGTAGCATCACAGTATAAAGAGGTAGACTTTTCCTCTATTGCTTTGTTTAGGTTTGTATCAATTAAACTTCTACTAGGTTGTCCATCATCATGTTCCATAAACTCAAGGTCACTATCATCAAGGGTTGAGACAATTGGCTGTTCAGATATTTTTTCATTATTTGTACTATCAGAGGGGTCCTTAGTGTCCTTTTTATCAGGACTTTCAGTTGCAGATACTTTTTTAGTTATAGGCTTCCTAAGCTTTTCAGTTATGGCTCTACTAAATTTAGGGTTCATTGCTAATAATTGTCTATTGGTTATATTTGCAGGTTGGTCAAAGAATTGTTGAGGGGTATATAGGGTAATCATTTGGTTTACAAGTAGCATAGCTGCTGGTTTCCTTTTTACTGCTTTTCCTTTTTGTTTAATGTCCTTAGTTATTTCTTTTTTATTTGGGTCATCAGTCTGTTCATTTTGTTCAACTCATTGCCTTTTTGCAGGATATGTTTCTAAAGTTATTATATTAGAGGGAATTGTAGATTGGGCTGTACACTCATTCTCATGAGGTACATCTCCTAGTTTAAATGTTGTTGCTGTTGTTATTGTTGAGCTTGTTGCTATGGTTGAACTTGAGGTTGTACCTAAGTTTGCTGTATTAGATAGTAAGATTAGGCTTGCTGTTGTTGTTGATTAATAGGCAGTGCTTATGCCTGAGGTTGAATTATAGGTTGAGGTTGAAATTGCTGTACAAGATTATTAGGTACAAGTTGGGTAAGAAGTTGCAAGAGTTGGTTAACTTGTAGAGCTTGTTCAGATTGAGCTAGTTATTGATTATTCAGTACAAGGTTTATAGGGTTCATAGAGTTTACAGAGTTAGCAATAGAAAGTACAATATTTTGATAGTTCATATTTTGAACTTGAGAACAGGTCCTACGAGTATGTCTAGGTTGTCTACATTGATAGCAAACAAAATTATTTGACTTTTGAGGTCGAGGTCTGAGTTGGTAAGGTTGAGGTTAATTAGCCTGAGGTTGTTGATAGTTATTATTATTCCTAGGATTATGGCGAGGTTTAATATTTATTTGTTGTAACTGTTAGATTAAGACCTGTAGACTTTAGGTAAGTTGATCCATTTGATTATTTTGTTGAGCAGGTACCATATATTTATTGAGGTAAGAGGTTACAGCATTAGTGTCCTAATATGTTAGTTCATAATTTTTGGCACAGTTAACAGTATCATTCTAGATAGCATCATTATGAGGTTTAACGTTAACATATAATTCAGATAAGAGTTCATTCACAAATTTTTGGGCTTTGAAGTGAGTAGGGAATTGGAAAGGTCTATGCTCTACCCTTCTATATAATTCCAAGAGAGCAGCAGTATAGTCATCAACAGATTCACCAAGGTGTTGTTGTTGACGTTCAAGTTTAGTAGTCTAGATTTTAACTAGAGTTTAAGAACAAAAAGTAGTAGAGAAGTTAATGACAAAGTTAGTGTTGTGAGCAGGGTTACCATCATCCTATTGTTGGATTCTATTAGAGCTAGTGTTGACTAATATTTGGTTTTCAGTTCACCAAATAGCAGTAGCTCTTTTAAGATATGCAGGTACAACTTGGAGCTTGTTGTTATCAGTAATTCTATTGGCATTGCAGACTTTGTTAAATTTAGTGAGCCAAGTTATAGAGTTCTGATTTCCACCATAAAAGTAGGGTAAATCAATCACTTGAGCCTCTCTTTTAGCAGGATTATTAATAGCATTAGTATTGTTAGTTAAGGTAGTAGTAGTATTAGGCAAAGTAGCAATCAATTGGGTGAGAGTATCAGTAAGTTCCTGAAAGTTTTGTTAGTTAGGTTGAGTCATGTTTACTTGTTGCTATTGATTTAGAGGTAATTGTTGTAGTTCTGGTTGATTAAAGAGTAATTCTAGACCAAAATTTTCTTCCTCATCAGATAAATTTGATTGTGCAGTTTGATATTCAGCTGTTTGAG